TATTATATATATATATATATATATATATATATGAGAGAGAGAGAGAGAGAAACTGATTGCAGATTTGACTCGAAAGTATCGAAGATCTGTTTAAAAAATATCACGCAACAGAAAACATAAAAAAGCTGTTGTTCAGTATAATTAGAAAGCTATATTACAAAAACGGACATTTCCTGATGGGATATTTTATTCCTTTTTAATGCTATATGGATATATTATTAATGGTATTTAAATATTTAGTCGACAAGCTACTCTCCTTTGCATTTAGACCAATTCAATTCTATTATTCTTAGAGCAGATCGAATTTAATATTCAAACTAGTTAATTTTATTTCACAGATTAATCATTATAAGAAAATTAAATTTTTGTTAACTAAATGCATTTTTCTTTCAGAGGTTACGTCGAAATCTTCCCCCAAGTATACTGCGGCGCATGTCAACCAGTACATGGACTACAACAACTTCAGCCACGGGATTACCTACTCTAGAACCAGAACCCTCTCGAAAACGTAGCACAAGTTTTAGACATCCAACAGATTCACAGAACACTTCTCCTAGAGGTGGTAGTAGTCCTCAAACAGGTTGTGCGGTCTCACCTAGGTGAGTTTTTTTTTTAAAAATATTTTCAGACATTTTACATACATATTTTTTAAATATAAAATAATTTTAAAGAACTTAAACTGAGCTGTTTTTAAAAGCTGGTTTTAAAATATGTTTCAATTAGCTAGTTAATAAGATAGCAAGATAGTTAATTATTAATTACCATGATAAATGACACCCTTTTTATTATGTTTCTTTTTAACATTCTACCGTACAACTTTCTTAAATTTTTGTTTCTTTCTCTTCTGAGGAGTTTTTTTTTCCTGTTATTGGTTTAAAAACAGTAGTTTTTGTAATTAATTTTTAATTATCAAGTATTTTTGCTTTTTTTATTAATAATCTTGATACTATGTGTATCAGTAATTCAGCATTTTTATGGCGTTCTAATAACTTTTCTTACACTATCTGATAATAAGTATTTAGATACCTCCGATAGAACAGGAAAAAAAATGATTCTCATATCAATAATTGTTCAAACAACTACTTATGAAGTTATGCTTTCTACAATTTCTTGCATGACGGCTTGTGATATTTTCTTTAACTTGGCTATGGGAAGACATTAATCAGGATCAAGTATTGAGAGAAATTTACCTTTGTGGAGGACTTTTTGATCGAACTAACCCGCATTTACGTTGCATATAGAGGAAAACCACGATATATTTATTTTCGACTACGCTGCATAGTCAGGCTATAATTCGATAATACAGCTAATCACATGATTGGGTCTAATCATATCGTTGTGTATGGCGCGTGAACTTTGAGGCTAGGGTTTGTTAACTGAAGCAATTTTCGGTTCAGATTTAATTGCATACCAGCAAGCGACGTTATGCGTGGGTATTGAACCTAATATGCTTCTCTACGCGTGACATCGCTTGCTGGCATCCAATTGCAGTTTACGTGACCTTGAGTAAATCAAAGCAGTAAAAATGATAACAAATACGCAACATATAAGGGATATTATTGGCAAAAAAATTATATATCCCTTAAACTTTTGTTCAAAATTCCTTTTCTTAAATATTAGAAGTATTTTTGCATAAACAATTCAAATTTTACAAAAAAATGGGTGTGTTATCAGGTTTACCACTACAAGAAAGGACAGATAAAACTTAACTTTTTACGTGATCTTCTGAAGTAATAGTCCCTCTGGAGAAATAACAATGTTATCGAATCATTCCCTACTGTGGCATTTAGAAGTGCTTTTAAGTGCAAAACGGGCACGTAAGCTAAAACATCTCTTACTTGCAGACATTTCTATTTAAAACATCACGTTCAGCTAAGAAGTCTGTGGTATTTAAATTGTTTTTCCCTCTGTCGCATTGAGCCCAATTTGATACCCCTATGTGTACTATAGATTGTATCAATGCTGGTATGAGTAGTATAGAAATTATACTATGTACTGCTGGCAATACAGAATTTATACTATACACTATTAAACTATGAAAATTACATTTTTTTGTTATAAAGAACTTTTATGGGGAATTGTGTTTGCAATAAATCTTTGCTAAGAAGAAGATAAAACATAATAAATTAAAAATAGGAAATTTCATAGAATGAATATAAAGGCATAATATAAATTGTGAATTATTTAATAAAGAACTTTTTTACAGCAATGATAAAAAATCATATTGAAAATATTCTATTCATTTCAATTGAAAATCTTTTAAATAAATCTTACTTTGTATCGTTTTAGTTTAGTAGGGAAAAAAAACATTTCTTCAAAATTAGCTAAAGTTTTAAATTCAGTTGCCTTGCCCATTTTTCATTGTTAACTGAATACCCGTTTTCCAAACTGAATAAAAAATTAAATTATCAATAAATCAGTACTGAAAAAAACACTACGAAATCATGTACAAAACTAAAAGTGAACCAACAAAATTAGTAAAGCTAACGTAATGTCATTTTTTTGCTTATTATTATTTTTTTGCCATAGATTAATCAAAACGTCAAAACGCGTTTTTGGTTGTTCATCCCACCGAAATAACGATTAACTATGTGAAGATCGTTTAGAATTAATGTTATTGCTTAAGACCTAATCATGATGGTTAAAATTTACAAAATTGAGTGATTTTCCCTGGTACTTATCCCTTTCAAAGGCACGCAAAACCCCTCTTTCTACATTAACTATATTAAAACTGCACGGTATTAATGCTGTTTTAATTTAAATGATAATTTTATCTACAATAGTATATTTGGTATTGATTAAAATTTCACCAATAAATATTATGCCAAAAATACCTAGTACCAATTTTAATTAAGCAACATTGGCGTCAATAATAGTATGGCGATTTTTTTATATTCTTGAATGAATTAGTACGATTTTTCTATTACTTTTTCTTTTCAATACATAACTTTTGCTTTCCATTTCATAACTTCTGCTTTCCATTTCATAACTTCTGCTTTCCAATACATTTTATTTCCATTAATATCATTCCATTAATACCGGCTATTACCAAAATTAATTAAGTTTCATTGGCGTCAGTAATAGTAAGGCGATTCTTTACATTTCTCTTAAATTATTTAGTACTATTCCTCTATTAGTTTTGCTTTATAGTACGTAAATTATTGTTTTCTATTTCAACTACCATTGATTTTTAACTATTTAGTTTTATAGAAATACTTTTTAAAATCTTAAGTAATTCTATTCCTATATTGAATGATTCACGTTGGTCATTGAGTTCATCTGACATAACGAATAAACAATAATCAAATACCTAAGAACTTGCAATAAACTCCTTGTTTGATTAATGATAGCTATAATCAAGCAAACATTACTGACGCTAGAAATTATCGCCCTTGTCAATTCTTGCATTCTGCAAACGGCCATTTAATTCACTGGTAATTTCTAAAAGCTTTTTCCATGGTCAACACTCTCTCTTCCATTCTTTGTTGCTTAGCATTCTTGCATTATTTCAAAGAAAATGTTTTACAGTTTTTAAAATTCTCATAATGGAAAAAATCTGTTGACGATACGTTTTCTTAGTAGAGACAGTGATACAGATTTTCAAAAGTTAAATTCTGTTGTCAACTCGGTTGACCACAACATTTAATTTACTTTAAACGCAGATATTGATTTTATTTTACCTTTTACGCATACCTTAGCTACATTGACTTTTAGTAGACTTCACCTTAGTTAGGTCTGCAGGGGTAAAATCATTGAAATTCTTAAATATACCCTGGATGATCTGCTTGCCCCAGAGAGTACATCTGACTAATTTTATCTGGTTTTATTTTTTTTTTTAAACTTTTGGCTTTCCTGGTTTTAATATTTGCTTTTAGTATTTTACCTCGGCACTTACCGTACCCTTTGACTTTGTCCTCCCCTTGGACTAGCATCCTCATTATACATACGACATTCGAAATGAAATTTTGATCTTGGTGAACTTCAGCACCCTCAGTCTTACCTGGGGTCCTCTTTGAATTTTTATCCTTTTAGAGAAACTTTGGTTTACCTTAGAACATTTTTAATCCTGGAGGCACTTGGCCTTGAAAGGGGGACACTTGAACTTTTAGTCGACTATTTTAATTATTCTATTAATCTTATTTTAGTCTTATTTGTATTTAATGTAACTTTTTATATTTTTATCATTTGATGTTTCACCTGACCTTACTTTCATATGTTTTTACCTGTATTTTTGACACTTTTATTGTTGGTTAATTTTATTCACTTAAATGTTTTAAGCGCTTTTAAATTTTTTTTGAGGATTCTGTTTTATTTTAATCATCTTTTTGATTTTGGGATTTTTCCTACGTGTATCAATCTTTTTAGTTTTGATTTTATTTTTCTGTAATTTTGTTGTGTTTAGTTCACGTAACAACGGGTGAAACCCTTATCCGCAAACTTCTTCGGGGGTAGGTCGGTTACTACTACCTAGACCATTACCTAGACCATTACCATTACCTAGACCCATAGATATAAAGGCAGAAAGATCAATCACTCGACCAAACCGACGTCACGGTGAACGTTGACATCACTGGTCTAGTAACTAGTTTGTACTCTATATCCACGCCCTCTAGTGAACTGATGTGCTTGTTTATTGCAGCTGTACATAATTTGTTCTTTTTTTATTTGATTTTTATAAGTTGTAATGATTAATAATAATTGATAACATTCAGCCTAGACCATTAGCTACATTGAACAAACCAGACACATTTTTAAATTTAGATTAAAGGAACACGATAGATGTTTCCGTAACAAGAATGCGATAAATCATCAATTGCTGCACATTGTTGGAGTCGTGAGCATAAATTCAATTTAGACAACGCCGAAATCATTTCCACTTCAGTCACCTCAGGTCATCTTGATGACTTGATTTCATTCGTATGATAGCTGATTTTCTTGTTAATGACATTAGTTCTTCACCCCTCTACAAAGCGTGGGGAAATGTATTTTACCCTGCTTTATCCCTCTCGATCACAGTGGTTTTTATTGTTCAGTTTTTTTTCCCTTTTTATTTTTGTTTCTCTCTCGGTTACTACTGTTATACTAGTTTTGCTTCTCCCATTTATTTTCTATTTTTCGTTGGCAACATAACGCTTTAGATTTCATTCTGTCATTCACGTCTTCTGTCATTCTTGAAACATATCATTCACGTCTGACTAGCATTGAGAATGAGCTCCTATTTTTGAGCACTTGAAACACGCCATTTGATAAGATTTGCATATTAGTAAAATAATAATTCAGTCATTGCTCTGTTTGTAAATCGAAATAAATAAAATAAAACAAATACGAAATATTTAGATCAATAAGTGCAAATAAAAGGAATGATATGTATATCGACTTCCTAAATACACTATAAATTTATGATAATTTTTTCTCAAAATCCCCTCTAAATGAATTGAGTAAATTGCTTTAAGAAATGAAAATTACATTCTAGAGTACAAGTAATATTAGTCGCTAATGGCGTAGGTGTTTGTTCTAATACTTGTCTCAATTTGTAGTTGAAACAGTAGCATAGCATAGAATCCGTTAAAATTACTTGAAGACTCATAAAAACATCACC